ATTTAGAGGCGCGATCTTAAGGGAGAAATAAAAGTTCTCTAGGACCAACTTCAGGAGTATCGACAAGAAGCCAAGAAACTCGATGCTTTTAATTATGATTGGGATGACCTTTTTCAGAGTCATGACAAATTAAAAACACAAGAGAAACTTGCTTCGCAATACAAGCGTCTGTTCAACGAGAAAATCACGGAAGTCCACAAGGCTCAAGCCGAACTGCGCGAGCCTTTCCTTCACCCGAAACTACCTGCGAGTTGACTCAACTGCGGCCAGGAAGGTCACAGCCAGTACTCTTGCTTGAAAGAGTACACTGGAAAATTCTGCCAGGAATGCTCCGCAACAGGATTCAACACCCAGGACTGCCCTTGGCCACACTTTTCGAAAGGAATTCCAAAGATCCCAGAGAGTCAGAGATGCTGTCACTGTAAGGTGTCCAAAAATTGTCCAGATCCCGTCTGCCCACTCTGCAGAAAAGTGATAATAGCGCAGAATACCAAAAAGCACTATGATCTCGCTGTTCAAGTAGAAAAGACCTCCATCTCGAAGCCTAAAGCGCAAATCAACCACGCTTCGCCTGGTCCATCTCACGCCACAGACGACAACGTACAGTGGGACCAAACTGCAATTTACTGTTCATATTAGTCTAGAGCCTTCATTTTTTAACCGATTTTAATGAACTTTGTTTTAAATGAAAGATTATTAAATTTGGAAGAGATTTGTTTAGGCCGAATTTTAAATTTTAATTTGTTTATATTTATTTTTTTATTGCAAAGTTTAACAAAAGCATCTATTTTTAAAAAAAGTTATCTCCAGCGTCTATAATCGAATGGCACGTGCTAAAAACTTTTTAGAAACACACCTAGAGTACTCTGTAAATTGTAAAAAATTTGTGCTGGTAAATATTCGAATGTTATAAACAATTTATATTAACAAATAATTAAGTTTACAACAAATTGTTAATGTGGACAAACGCTTTGATAAATTTTGATGAAATTGTATACTTAAGGCCTTTTGGGGTCGCTGATTACGAATCTGTAATTAGTTTCTCAACATTTTGAATGAACGATATAGTGTGTAAGGTGCTTTTCTAAAAAATTGATTAGATGTACTTAAAACTTGTTTCTCGAAGAGGTTTCTTGGGTTTATTTCTTATAATGAAAAACGAATCGTTCTCACTTATAGGTGGAAAAGCTTCAAGCCATCTCGCGGCAAAGATGAAAAGCTCATACTTTTACCGCGAAATTGTAATCACTATAAGACTACCAATCTGTGCTAAAAATCCTTACACTATGCAGAATTTTTTTAAAAAATTTAAATTATACGATGATGTTTAAAAATTGTTTAAAGCAATAATATTTTTTAAATTTGTTAAAAAATTTATTATATATTGATGGATTTAAACATATAATACTTTAAAGTGTACAAATTAATGACAAGTTGTAAAAAATTAATACATTTTTAAATTATTCAGCATCAAAATAAGTATAAATGAATAAAATTATCAAAACAAGACTATAAAAATCTTCAGTAAATTTTTTAACCTTTATTTAAAAACGTATATAAAATCAATTTAAACATTAACGTATAAAACAATTTAAATTTGATTTTTATCATATTATCAACGCCATTTTGTATTTTTAAAAATCTGACGTCATATTTGTAATTAGCGACCACAAAAAACCCCGAGTAACGATTTTTAGACAAATTGAATCGATTTAAAAAACAGCATCCGCCATATTGGATCCGCCATTTTGAATTTTGAAAAACCAACATTGAATTCGTAATCAGCGACCCCAAAAGGCCTTAAGTATACAATTTCATCAAAATTTATCAAAGCGTTTGTCCACATTAACAATTTGTTGTAAACTTAATTATTTGTTAATATAAATTGTTTATAACATTCGAATATTTACCAGCACAAATTTTTTACAATTTACAGAGTACTCTAGGTGTGTTTCTAAAAAGTTTTTAGCACGTGCCATTCGATTATAGACGCTGGAGATAACTTTTTTTTAAAAATAGATGCTTTTGTTAAACTTTGCAATAAAAAAATAAATATAAACAAATTGAAATTTAAAATTCGGCCTTGACAAATCTCTTCCAATTTTAATAATCTTTCATTTAAAACAAAGTTCATTAAAATCGGTTAAAAAATGAAGGCTCTAGACTATTATAAACAGTAAATTGCAGTTTGGTCCCACTGTGCAACGCCACTCCTAATGATACGTCCAAGGGAGCAATAAAAAAGTGGGCCAACTCTACACTAACCTTTAGAGACTCTCTCTGTCTTGAGAGAGGTCCCATCCGTCAGTCAACCAATCTTGGGGCTTTCGACGACCAACGAGGACTCAGATTCATCGTCTACTGATTCCACATCGCAAGCCACCAGAAGAGGTTAATCGCGCTAAAGACAAATTAGCTTAAAACTTGTTACTCGGATGGTTTTGGGGTCGCTGACCATGAATCTGGAATCCAATTTTCAAAATTCGAAATGGCGGATCCAATATGGCGGACAATTTTTCTAAAAAATCATTAGATTCGCTTGAAACTTTTAACTCGAGGGTTTTTGGGGTCGCTGATTACGATTATAATGTCCAATTTTTAAAATTAAACATGGCCGCTCCAATATGACAGACGAATTTTTAGTTGAAATTCGATAATCACGTTCTTTAGCCATTAAAATACTTAAAATATTTTTAATGTTTTCCAACTTTTACCACGTGGTGGTAAACGTGGACTGGAAAGTCTTTTTTTTAAATATATTTTTTTCGATATAATATATTGATATGTAAAATTACTCGAATTAAAACTGTAAATAATGATTTTTGAAAGGTTTTACAAGAGCTGCAAGCTGGAGATAAGAAAAATTGTTTTTTTCAATTTGACCTTGAAATAAGTAATGATTAAAATTTGTAAATCCTTTTTTATTCGATTATCGGAAGAGTGATAAATGAAACAATGTTACATTAGTTCTGCAACGTTTCGGTGTCTTGGTTTAATGATTAAAATAAAACATATACATTTCCATTTTTTGAACTTTTAATTCAAAAATTATAATTTCAAATAAAAAGAAAAAAAATACATAAAAAATAAAAAAAGAAAAAAAAATAAAAAAGTAAAAAAAATATAAAATTTAAAAATAAAAAAGAGACTTTCCAGTTCGCGTTTACCTCTATGTGGTGAAAGTTGGAAAACATTAAAAATATTTTAAGTATTTTAATGGCTAAAGAACGTGATTATCGACTATCAACTAAAAATTCGACTGTCATATTGAAGCGGCCATGAACCCTCGAGTAACAAGTTTCAAGCGAATCTAATGATTTTTTAGAAAAATTGTCTGCCATATTGGATCCGCCATTTTGAATTTTTAAAATTAAACTTCAGATTCGTGATCAGCGACCCCAAAAACCCCCGTGTAACAAGTTTCAAGCAAATTTAATGAGTTTTTAGAAAATTGTCCGTCATATTGGATCCGCCATTTTGAATTTTTATAATTGGACTTCAGATTCGTGATCAGGACCCCTAAAACCCCCGAGTAACAAATTTCAAGCTGAAAGTGTTTACACTTTTAACAATTTCGTACTTTCAAATCAAATTTTGAAAAAAAATTGAACTTCAAACTCTATTTTTGAGCCACCATTTTAATTTTTAATTTTCTCTATAGTCCTATCTTCTAGGTTATATATCTATGTCACGTTATTTGTAACATTTGGAATTATTTTTCCGCTATTTCATAGTAGAAAAAATTGAAAATTAAACAAAAATTGGAAAAAAATTGGACTTTTTTTATAAAAAAACATTAATAACTTTTTTGTTTATAAATTTTTGATTTTTTTTAACGCCATTCGATAGAGCGTGTATGAAAAAATAAGAAATGATGATTCGTGAATTTTTCTATTGATTTTTGAGTACTGAAATAAGTCCTCAAACTTCATGACAAAATTTTGTCCATTTGGGTGTTAAAGGGTTAATAAGCAAGTATTGAGCGATGCCTCATTATTACTTACTATTGAACAAAATTTCAAACAAATTACTTTTTTTATTCCCACTAAGCAAAAGTTTTATTTTTTATTTGAAAATAAAATGCTTTTAGTTATTTTGCAGAGACGCTCGATGGAGCGAAATCATTGCTGGGAGGACGATTAGTTGGACTGAGGAGCTACCGACAACTTCACCTTAGAAAAGGGGAATATGATGACTTAGGTCGACCCAACATTTTTTTTTACAAGTAACGTTGTCAGAGCTAAGCAAGCTACCGGCAGAATCTCGTGCTGCGTCACGATCTTTTGCGCGTCTTTTTTGTACGAATTACCAGTTCCTCAATTAAAAGTCATTTCTATTAATTAATTATTTGAACTATTTATTTCTGCGCGTGTGGTGATTTTTTATCAATTAACAGAATTAATTCTTATGGTTCACGCCGGCGAGATATTTCTAGAGACTGCACATCGACCGGTAAGTCCACTGATTTTCCTTCCCGATTATCTCTTTTCTCGTCTCTGCGAGGCATCGTTTTCTGCTGCCAGTGGACCTTTTTCGCCAACACCCTAGCACCCTGTGCAAATCTTGTTGTTGTGCTCCCTATACGAGTCTTACTCACGCACCTAGAGATAATTTTCGCAACCGACCATTCTTTAAATCGAACCTCGTGCCCGAGTTGTCACAATTTTCAAAAAAGTCAAAATTTTGAAACTCCGTAACTCAAAAAATATTTTATCAAATTAAAAAAATTTATATTTACAGTTCTATTAATAATAGTAACAGTTTTGCAAAGTTTCAAGAAAATTCATTTTTTGACCTGGGCAGTTAAAAAATTTGGCCCATATATCCAAAATCCATTTTCATATAGTGGCGTTTTAAACTTGACATAACTTTCGTGACGTCACGAAAATAACGCCATGAATGCATGACATTCTTTACCTGTCATAGATTTTCGTAAGGGTGCAAATGAATTTACAGTTAAATTTTATAATTTGATATTTATAAATGGTGTTATTTCTTACCGCTTATACCTGGCAACTTAATAAATAATACAGTAGAAGTTAAAGATCCTATTTTTGAGATCTGTAATCATAAACATTATGTTAATCAACAAGAGAATTTGGTAATTTGAGCCTTCACTATTTATTCCCTTGTTATACGTACGTAAAAATTTTAGATAGATTATGAGTAGAAATAGAAGGAGTTTACACCGTAAGCCTTAAATATAAGCCTCCGCGCGCATAAACGGATATACCTCCAGGAGCATATATTTGCGCCTGCGCGAGCACGTGGTCCAGGCAAACTCTTTCACAACACAGCTGCAGGCAAACACTTTGCGCAGACGCAAGTATATCCTCATGGAGGCATATCCGTTTATGCTCGCGGAGGCTTATATTTAAGGCTTACGGTGTAAACTCCTTCATAGTAATATATGTATTACACTGAAAAAAAATTCGACAGAATGTGCTTTTTACTCAGGCAATTTTTACCTAAGAACAGAAGCAATACATGTAAAGCAATTGTTTCTTTAGAAAAAAGCAATTTTTGACTATAAAAAAGGTAAAAATTGCCTTAGTTAAAATTTTTGCCTGCAAAAATTGCTTTTTTTAAAAAGAAATAATTGCTTCGCGTGTATTGGTTTTGTTCTTAGGCAAAAGTTGCCTAAGTAAAAAGCACATTCTGTCAAATTTTTTTTCAGTGTATGCTACAAGATTGGAAATTCCGAACTGTATACGATTTGTTATTGCATAAATACAATTCCTCTAGCTTCTGCCTTAGTACTTCTGCAATATACCTTATACCCTACAGACATGTGAGTTATTCCCCTGTAATCCTCCACTTCATTTCCTTCTCATTTCTTGACCCGCCCGGCCATTCTCCTTTTTCCTGTAGCACTTTTCCTTTCTTTTAAAACTGTGTAAATCCCCGTAATCATCCCCCGTCACATCTTCCCTTTACATTCTCCTTTTTTCCCCTTTGATAACTTCCAACTTTCTCTTCACCATGTCCCGTTTCCTTTTCTCTACACAAGTTTCTAACAGAAAAATTACAACCCACTTTTTTAATGAATCCCATAAACACCTTATCCTTACCAGTCCAACCCCCAACATTCCAGAACACTACACTTATTTCCTTTCCGTCCCTTCCCAATCTAAGGTCTATCCATTTAATTTAAAATGCTATAGTGTTTCATAAATACTTAATACATTTTCTACTCTTGCTTTGAAATAACACACGTGCATTAATGTGATTCCTTTAAAAAATTATTTAAAATAAAATTAAAACAAGTTATTCACGCTACAGTCATATTATATATGGGCAATTCCACGTGAGATTTCAGTCGACCTCTTAAAATCGGCCAAAAATATTTTTTTTCTATTCTGTATTGAAAAAAAACAGATACGTATTTTTTTATTATTTTTTTGGAGGCCAAATTTTTGAGTTATGAATTTTCAAAATTTTCGCTTTTTAAATGTAGGTATATTTTTAATGTCAGATAACTAAAAAAATATTGCTTCTTTTTATTTTTTGACAAGAGAAAAAAGTTTTGTTTTTCTCTCTACTTTTGAATAATCATAACAACAAATTTTTTTTTTCATTTTTTATTAAAAAAATAAAAAAATTTTATAAACAAATTAATTTTTTTTAACTTTGGGTATGATAAATTTTTAATTTTCTTTTTTTAAAACATACCTGGAAATGATAAGAAGGTTTTGCAAAAAGTTTCAGAGTGGGCCTGACAAGTTTGATGGATCCAAAAAAATAATTAAGCTGTCCATGCAGGTCGCACGCTCGTGGCACAATGGGATTTTTTTACAATTTATTATTAAAAATTGTCTAGAGCCTACAAATTTTATCGGATTTTGATTATTATTGAATTTTTAGGCTCTAAACAATTTTTAATAATAAATTGTAAAAAAATCAAATTGTGCCACGTGCGTGCGACCTGCACGGAGAGCTTAATTATTTTTTTGGACCCATCAAACTTGTCAGGCCCACTCTGAAACTTTTTGCAAAACCTTCTTATCATTTCCAGGTATGTTTTAAAAAAAGAAAATTAAAAATTTATCATACCCAAAGTTAAAAAAATTAATTTGTTTATAAAATTTTTTTATTTTTTTAATAAAAAATGAAAAAAAAATTTGTTGTTATGATTATTCAAAAGTAGAGAGAAAAACAAAACTTTTTTTCTCTTGTCAAAAAATGAAAAGAAGCAATATTTTTTGAGTTATCTGACATTAAAAATATACCTACATTTAAAAAGCGAAAATTTTGAAAATTCATAACTCAAAAATTTGGCCTCCAAAAAAATAATAAAAAAATACGTATCTGTTTTTTTTCAATACAGAATAGAAAAAAAATATTTTTGGCCGATTTTAAGAGGTCGACTGAAATCTCACGTGGAATTGCCCATGTATACTTGGCATATTTAAAACTGTCGAAGAAAATTTGATTTGCTGTTTACAATCATTAAAATTAGAAACAATTAGTTTTTATTGATAGTTTAATAGTCTTCCTGAATAAGAATTTTTTCTGTACCAATCAGTAATAAGATTTTTGTTTTACGATTTTATAATCTTCAAATTTAGAACATTTATTTCGTTATTATATTCTAATTCATGAGTGAACTGTAATCTGTTATGAAAGGAATTGAAGGCAATAACAACTCGTCGGTTGGGTGCAGAAAGGTGCCAATTCAGACTAGTCGTGAAAAACGTGCCGTTTCAGAAAACATTTGAGAAACCTGCCATTTGAGCTGAAATTTGGAAAACATGACAACTCAGAATTGACGTTCATTTTTTATTTTAAGTACAAGAAAGAAGTTGTCCATCAAATAATAAATAATCAACAAATTAATTCAATAAATAAGTCAAAAATATTCCTTTTTCAAAGAAAAATAACAATTATGCAAAAAGCATCTTGAAAAATCATTTTTGTATAACTTTATAACCTTTTCTTCGAATTATTTCGAAGGTTGACACTTTCCAAGTGTCAAAAAAAAATAAATAAAAAAATAAAAAAATAAACGTCAATTCTGAGTTGGCATGTTTTTCAAATCTCAGTTCAAATGGCAGGTTTCTCACGTGTTTTTTGAAACGGCACGTTTTTCACGACTAGTATGAATTAGCACCTTTCTGCACCCAACCGACGCGACGAACTGTAGATACTTTATTTTTTAAAACACATAAGAAAGTGTCATTAACATATCTTTAATATTAAATAATTGAAAATTTTAAATTATTAATGATAGTTTCTTCCAAGTCTTGCATAACTATGTTAGCCAGAATTGGAAAAATTGAAGCGCCCATCGGCGTGCCAAACTTTTGTCTATACTTACTTATAATTGAATTGAAAGAACATATTATTCATAATAAATACAATACTATTTAAATTCATCTTAAGGAATTTACAATTTACAATTATTTATATCTTATTTCTTATCCTCAGTTCTTGAACGAATTTGAGAACATTCGTTAAATAAAATTTATCCATGTATTAAACATCTAACATTAAAATTCTTCTGAAATAGCTAAATATTTATTATATACTATTGTGTAAAAACTCACCTGAAGTTCCAAAAGCATAGAATTCATGGTTAATAATGTAACAGGTGGATTTTTTAACTTTAAAGAGATCATTGATGTTTCATATACCATTTCGTACTGAAAATTTTGTTCATATCCTGTCAACAAAAAAGGTTTACGTAATAAGTATCAGAAATATAAAGTCTATTATAATTTAAAATTTTAATGACACTGTCCATAATAATTAAATTAGTTTAGTAAAAAATCGTACACTTTTTAATATATGAATTTGGTTTTCCTTCACCCAGAAAAGGCATAAAATATAAAATAAGAAATTCTCATTTTTTAAATAAAAATTATGTAAATTGAAGTTTTTCAAAGTTTTTTAAAACTTTTTTCGGAATCCACTTTTCTTACCTAACAATGAGTCTTCTTTTTAAATAAATGAGATATAAAAAACATGACAAACAACTTTCTTTAAATTAGTTTTATTTGATTAAAATTAGTCACACGGAGGTTTGTGAGGTTGTTGATGACGAATCCAATGTTGTTTTTCAAACAATAAAAATGTCGTACAGGAATTACATCCTATTCATTTGTTTCCTACGCTATTGAAAAAACACGTGCACACAGAAGATAAAAAGTGTTATTTTAACACCGAATTTGGTGTTAAAATAACACGCAACAAATTTAACCGTCATAGGTCAGAAACTACGAGTATGACAATTACTACAAGTATGACATGTTTTATCCAAATAGGTAATTTACACTTGCATATGTTTACTTGTTAGTAAATCCTACTTGTTGACCTAACAAAGCATAATTTTGAGGTCCCTGCATAGTTTCCAGTTGTGGACATCAAACTTTAAACATTTTAAAACAAAGGCCTGGTTCATTTACTCTTCCTTTAAATTAACTGAATGGGAAACAGGAACAGAAGCTTCTGATCTCATTTATTAATCCTTCAACAACATTACAGTAAATCAGATCATTTTATAAATTCCAGGTCTCGAACTATATCGCTAACTCATTTTGAGTAAAGAGACCTTTCCGATATAAAAGTTAGCTGTCTGAATGCTTAATTCATCCGTTATTGAGTCATTGTCAGTAATTTTTTGTGTATTTCTGAGAAGCGTACTTTCCGAATGTTTTTAGCCATGTTATGTTACTAATCTTGTTTTTCAACAGGAAAAATTTTATGATTTGACGATTTCCTACAAATCATTGGAGATAAGAATCGTTTTCTATTATTGTCTCCACTTTTCCATTTGTTAGAAATACACGACAAGTGTGGGGAATGATGTTTAGTGTCCAAGAGTTATTTAAACTTTTGCATTAAATTTGAAAACATACCGAATACCTGTTCTTCCTGAAATCAGCAAAAATTGTTCTTTCCTTTGACATATCATACTCATTACAGACAACATAAAACATCCTTTTTTTTGCTTTTTCCGAAGTTATTATGAAACGGTTAAAATATGTGCCATGTTGTCAATTCTTGAATTTTTCTTGAGTAATTTGTACGAAAGGACTTAAAATCAATGAATATGGTGTTCCTCAAGGAGCATCCCTTTCTTCTCTTCTTTTTAATGTATTCATTACTGATCTTGGTAATGATATGAAATATTGTAAATTTCTTAAATTCGCTGATGATTTTAAAATATATTTGTCTGGTCCTTTATCTTCTCTTTCTGAAATACTTCAAAAAGTCCAGTTTGATATTGATTATGTTGTCAAGTGGGCAAAGAGTAATGCATTGACGTTGAATTCGGCTAAGACCCATGCTATGGTTTTTTCTACATCGACTGTTTCGGTTAGGCAATCCTTATTAGCCCTTCCTCCTCTGTTGGTATGTAACACTCCTATTTCCTTTGAAGAGACAGTAAAGGACCTTGGTTTGGTAATGGATTGCAATCTGTCATGGAAGGAGCAAGTTTCTGGTATTTCACGTCAAACTTTTATTACTTTACGACAATTAAATCGAAATAAAGACTCTATCCCCTGTTCAACTCGCTTATTATTAGTTAAATTGCTAATTCTTCCCTTTTTTGATTATTGCTGTCATGTATATGACGATATCACTGATGAGCTTAATGTTAAGTTGGAGCGATCATTGAATGCCTGCATTCGCTTTATTTTTAATATACCTAAGTCTGAGTATATAACACAATATAGAATAAGGGCGGGGCTTTTAAATGTTGCTTCTAGAAGACAACTTTTTATTGGCAATTTGATATATTCTATTTTTAGCAGCAGAATGCCTTCATACCTATACAGCTTTTTTAATTTTAAAGATCTAAATAAAAATAATTATTCCAGGCTTCGAGAAAGAAAAAATTGTTTAATAGTTTCTTTTCATCAAACTAGTAAGATGCAAAAATCTTTTATTGTAAGAGGTGCAAGACTTTGGAATAAACTTCCTGTTAATATTAGAGATGCACCAAGTTAATTTACGTTCAAAAAGCTGTTCTTTAATTTTCTATTAAAAAAAATGGAGAATTTTTTTATATTACCTACTGGTAAATTATAGTAGTTCTTTCTTTTTTTCAGTTAAGCATAATATATTGCTTTTTGTTTTGTTTTATTTTTTTTAGCTTTTCTTGTATTAGATTATGCGTGCATTTTTCCTAATATGATTATCATATTCTGTTAGATTTTTTTTGGTTTTATCATATTGTTATGTAGTTTTATATACTTTTAAGTTACTTCTGTAATTAAAATTTTGTATATTGTTCTTTGAAGGGCTTTAAGCTCTAGGGACTTATTTTCAATAAATAAATAAATAATAAATATTTCTCTGTGCAGTAAATATAATATAAGTTTAAATTTTAATTAGGAATTTGATGAAATAAACATACCTGTGGGATTACTCAAAATAGTAATATTTATATTTAGCTCAGCCCCTCTTAATATGACAATTTTTTGGTCAAATACAATATCTGCATCCTATAAAGTAAAAAAAAATTAAAAATTTTTTTAGGTTAAGTTAGAAATTAGGCAAATGATATTGTCTTTAAAAATCCAATACCAATGGATATACATTAACTCTTCAACAAATCAATAACTTCAAGAGAGAGATAATATGTTACATTTGGAATAAGAAAATAACGGTAAGTGTAATAAAGGTCCGCGATCATTGCGACACCTCCTGTGAGATAATGTTATTTCATGCAAACATCAGTTCAGTATAAATCTATTTCAAAAACAAGTGCAAGATGATGTTAATTCACAGATTAATGCAAGAAAATTCTACTTTATTCTTCAATTCAAGATAATGATTCCCTCTCGAAATATGTGTTATTATTATTTAAATATATCATTATCTTAATTGAAAAATGAAAGAGCCCAGTAAACGAAAACTAATTGAAATGAATTAAAAAGAATTCACAAAGAGCTTTCGTGAATCCCGCTTTGTGACAAATACGAATTGGAGCCATGATGCAATTTTCCTGAATTCGTGAAACTGTATTGAACTTCCGAACCTTCTATCCGTACCAATTCACTGGACAAGTTTTGAGCCTTTAATTTTTTTCAATTCGTTAGCACGAATTCAATGCATTCCTTGGCCATTTCTTTCGAATGCGAATTCGTTTGGACAAATTGGTACATATTGAATTAAATTCAATTGAATATACAAAGAGCTTGAGTGAATCCCGCTTTGTGACAAATACGAATTGGAGCCTACCAAAAATGTTAATTCGTTTCAATTCATTTGAATTAGTTTTTTTTACTGGGAGAATTGTCTTGCATTAATATGTGAGTTAACTTTATCTTGCACTTGTTTTTGAGATAGATTTATACTGAACTGACGTTTGAAATAACATTATCTCGTCAGGAGGCGTCGATTGTCACCTTAGTAGTAATCAATATTTATAAAATTAATCGATCTTTTTATTTTCCACAAAAAATTAAAATTTTTCTTAACACTTTAAAATAATTATTCTAAAATAAAAAATTAAACAATTGGTATATAATTACACTGGACCACAAAGGGAAATTGAGGTGGACATCTAAGCATATGTGGCCTTTATGTTTTTGGGGTCTCTGATTACGATCCAGGTGACCATATGACTTCATTACGTCAGCATCAAGGTCAAATTAAGGTCAAAAACCTTAATTCGAAATATTTCATTTTTCCAACACCGGTTCAAGATGACCTTCAATTGACCTTGAAAGGTTGGTTAATAAAAATGGTCAAAACGTATTCGGACGTAAAATTTTCTGTTCTTTCCGAATCCGGGGTCAAAAAAATTAAATATTGCAAAATAAGGTGTTTGACCTTGATTTTAATAAATAACTTAAAATAGTGGCATTTCATTAGAAATTTAATAGGCTTTCCAATGCAACTTAAAAAAAGGATCTAACTTTATTTTTAACCGAGTTATCACTGTTTCTGTGCGGGTGTGTTTTTTAATAGCTCGAGATGTTAGCATTCGCACAATTTCGGACGGTAGTGTAGGTTTCATGAATTACAACTATGGATTTAAATAATGTTATATTTTATTAAAAGAAAGTGAAAAGTAGTTACAATTTTGGTTTTAATAAGTCATAAATTTTGTTATTGTTGAAGTATAATACGTGAAATTATTTTATTCTAAATTTTAAATTTAAAACTAAGTGAGCGGGTTTACCCCAGTCTCCCCTAAAAGTCACAGACAGTCAATCCAATTCAAGGACTTAATCCGGAATGATTTTGGTATAATATTGAACTTGTATATTAAAAACAATTTGTTTTAAATTCAGATAAATTCAAACTATAATTATAATTTAATATGACAAAAACCTGAACATAACCAGATTAATTCCGGACTTAATCGGAATAATATTCCGGATTCACTGCACTGAAAAAATTAATTTAGTACATTTTACGAAACTAATTTTGGAATAGCGGATACGGAGAGGAGTTTAGTATAAGATAAAACAGAATCAATAGTAATATATGATGACTGCGTTTCTCGAAAACTCAAAAAAAATTCTATGGAATTCACAAATGATCGGTTGGACGTTCTAATTCAAGAGTTTTGTAAAATGTTTAGCCTGAAGCGCATGCGCCACGGAAAAAAATATTCACGGAGAAAAAAACGAATAAAGCAGAAAAAAGAATTTCTTAATGTACCAATGAGCTCTCAAGACCATTTTTTCTCGTCTTCTATAGGAGATAGATGATTGGTTCGACACATGTGACTGCACTCTACAACGCAATGGTTCGCTTGGATTGGCTTATTTTATTCTGACACTAACTTAACGGAAATACGCATACATATAAACGAATTCTGACGCAACGCACATACAATATAACTCGCACTTGTAGATGAAAGAATTGAGTTTCTTTATATACTAACTGAGGAGATTAAAACTGCGCTTGTGAGAAATGTCAATATACTGAATATTAATTTTTAAAAAAATCATTTTTTTAAAAGTTATACAAAATATTTTATGGTTTTTAAAATAACATTTTTTGATTATAATTAGTTATAAAATCTCTAGATAAAATTTTTCAATTTTTAGAAAATAATTTTATTCTTAATTTTAAATTATAAATAAATTGACAAAAAATTTTCAAAATTAAATTCAAACTCAAAAAATGTTTATATTAAATTGTCTAAAATTTGAAGTAATAACAGTTAAAACTTGAGAAATTAATATATATATTGTCATCGGTAAATATTATGATAAACTATAAAATTTATTGGACTGTAAATTAAAAGAAATTAATAATAATTAAAAGTTTGGATTACAAAAGCACATAAAAAATGTTACGAATTTGGAACAATGAAATGTGAAATACGTAAAAGAAAACAATTATCCAAATGTTACCGGCAGGTAAAGCAGTTCTCTTTTTCCTTCCATATTATCTCTATATACAGCAGACAAGTTAATACCGACGCGACGAGACAAGCTTCAACATATCTATTTATAACGCGACTTTTGGTACACTCCGTATAGAATTTTACGAAACTTTGTGTTCGAGAATTCACGATAGACAGCGAAGTGGAAACTCAAACCACGCGTTTTTAGATTGCACGAAACATTTTTACCATTTTCTGATAAAATGTTCACCAGAAAATACGAAACATTTCTACATTCAAGCTTGTTTTATAAATTACAACACTGGTTGCAGTTTCTAGACAATTGTTCTGCTTAAAGTAGTGAAAGTTTCTGGGTTTTTGAAAAACTTCGTCTAGGAATCTTAAATATCCGCTAGTGCGAAATTAGTTTCGTAAAATCTGCTGAACTTATTTTTTCCGTGTGGTTATACACAAACCGTATAAAGTTCGGATTTATCCGGATTAATTTCGGGTGACAAAAACCTGACCATAAACCGCACTGTTTCGGACAAATTTCCGATTAGTCCGAAATCTGTCCGGTTTTTTAACCAGGGAAGGCACGCTGCTTTTGGCAAAAATTCTTAAAGTTGAAATATTTGCTCAACTTGTTACACGGTGGTTTTTTAAGTCTCTGACACCGAATGTTAAGTCACTTTTACGAAGTTCAAGAGGCGGACCTAATATGACTGACTGCAAAATTTAAAGCTAATCAGGTGGGTTTAAAATTTGTTAATCATCATTATTTTTGGCTTACTGTTAATTCTTTACATATTTTTAGAAATAATAGTTAAATATGTTCAGATTAAAGATATATATAATTTATTTAATCTCAAAATCATAATAGTTTTGCTAAAATTAGGGTTTTAAAATACTCATGTTTCAAAAAATTAGTGACTTTGTTGTCGAATTATTTAATTAAAGTTGTTTTTCTAACACGTTATACTTTGTTTTCTATGTATAACTTGAAGGGCTAATTGTTAGCCGAGATCAGAATCTGGGTCAAAACCGGCGCAGCCTAGCTATACAAAAGTTTCGAATCAAGAGTTCCAAACTAAAAGTCCCAATCCAAATGTTCCAATATAAGAAAGTTCAAATATAACAACGCCTTCATAATTCTAAATTCTTCTCAATAAAGGTCTTTAAAATATCCATTTAGTAATAATAAAAGAATCTTAGCTTTTGAAATGAGTATTCCGTAAACATAAAAATATCTTCTAGTACAACTTAATAATTGCAAAGGTCAGTCGCTGAGATAAGACTCAGTTTAGGAATGAATTTCATTTATTACAGTATTGGTATTATTAATACTTTTTTGACAATTATAAACAAATATTCTACCTTTCTAACTTCTGATATTATCAATACTTTTTCAATATTTATAAACAAATATTTTACCTTTCCAACTTCTGCGGACCTGCAGTCAGCGATATATAGTGATTTTGAAAACATTAATGTAGATCTAGCTCTTTCCACATTAATGGTGATTGTCGTATTAGTTTCTCTAACGGGTTGTCCAGTATCCTTAACAAAATTAAAAACATAAATTATTATTAGAAAATATTAACCCATTTAGTCCCAAAATTTCGAATTTTTCTCTTCACATTTGCACTTACGATTTTCAAAGATGGTGGGTTAAAAAAATTGTACATCATGTTTTTTATGTATTTTTTCGCCCTCTTTTAGAATTTGCAAGAAAATTTAATTTTTGACTTAGGGATTAAAAGTTATGATTGTTTAAACAAAAAAATACAAAATTTTTTGGTTTTTGTTTTATTAAAACTATATTTTTGATTGGAAATCGCTTCAGGAAAAATTTGGACTGACAAAATATCGCGTCCAAAATGTATGACCTTTCATTTAGGCATTGCTAAAAATTTTAATTTTTTCGAAATTCAAAATGTCATGTCGGCTCAAAAATGGACCACAAAATATCTAAAACTTTTAATAGTCAGAAAAATAAATTCTAGACACATTTTCTCATCATAAATGACTGAAATTAGTATATAAATAACATCTTTGATAAAATTTTATCACTATGACTAATTTAACAATATTTTAAACAATTTTTATAAACAATTTTTTTTTAAATCACAAATATTGAAAAAAATTTGTTTCTTTAAATATCGCTCTTATTTTGATAGTTGTAATGAATGTTGAGAATAAAAATTGTTTAACATTATTATTTAACAATGTTATAAACAATTTTATAAACAAATTAAGAATTGACAATAATTGAAGCTGAAAAATAGTGTCTTTTTTTCACCGACTTTTTTACTGTTCTCTTAATGAATCTTTGAGGTGAAAATTATTGACTACAATTATTTAACAATATAACAATATATTATATATAACAGTTATAACAATTGTTATCAATAAATTTCAAATTAACAACAAGTAAACATGTAAAAATTTCGTTTTTTCATTTACTATTTTTTTCTATAGGATTAATGAATCTTGAAACTTTAATTTATCTACTAATATTTTTCAATAAAGTTATAAACAATTGTTGTAAACAAACTACATTTTAACAACAATTGAATATAGAAAAATAGTTTTTTCTTTTAATATTCTTTTTTCTATGTCATTTCTATGAGAGAGTGATGTAAATACTAGCACTTTACCTTCAGTTATTGTAAATAAATAATTTGTTTACAAGAATTGTTTATAACTTTTTTAAAAATATTTAGAATTAAACTTAAGTTTCAAGATATATGAACCCTATAGAAAAAAGAATATTGGAAGAAAAAAGGATTTTATTATATTCAATTATTGTTAATATGTACTTTGTTTACAATAATTGTTTACAATTTTATTAAAAAATATTAGTAGGTAATTATAGTAAAGGAGAATGAAACGAAAACATTCGGACAAATAGTTTTTAAAAATTAGTTTACTTTACTTACTTAGCAGGTAAATTAAAGTTTCAAGATTCATTAATTCAATAGAAAAAAATAGTAAAGGAAAAAACTAAATTTTTACATGTTTACTTATTGTTAACTTGAAATTTGTTTATAACAATTGTTTATAAATTTGTTAAATAATTGTGATCAATAATTTTTACCTCAAAGATTTATTAAGAGAACTGTAAAAAAGTCGGTGGAAGAAGACACTATTTTTCAGCTTCAATTATTGTCAATTCTTAATTTGTTTATAAAATTGTTAAATAATAATGTTAAACAATTTTTATTCTCAACATTCATTGCAACTATCAAAATAAGAGCGATATGTAAGCAAACAAATTTTTTTCAGGGTCAGAATTTCCCAAACGGATCACCTAAAACTAAAAAATTTTCTTTTTGAACCTAAAAAAAATTAAAATTGTATTATAATATTATTGTATATTGTTGTAAAAAATAAGCCTCAATTAAAAAAAAAGTTATTAATTAAAAACTGCAGCTGTGTAGAGCTTTACATGACGTTAAACTCGCCCCACGCACATTGGCATTTTTTACAATTTACTGTTCAAAATTGTCTAGAGTCTACAAATATCGGATTTTGATGATCTTGGTCTTAAATTGAAGGGGATAAAATTTCTAAGAGATCCCTCTAAACCAATTTTTGGATTTTTAAATTGTTGATATTTTTTCTTGTTACTCAAAGTTAACAATTTGCAATATTTTTAGAAAAAATCATGTTTATTTTTTTATTGCAAATGATTGAAATCAATTTAAATTAGTCTAGCATGACCACAAGACATATAATAATGCATAATGCAATTTACTTAAATTGTTGCAAACATTGTTAATTAACAAATACATAACTTTGGTTCTTTTTAATAAAAAATCCTTTTTTTTTGCAGACAAATTTATGTTTATTTAAGTAATTTATGTCCATTTTAGTAAAATATTATTTTGAATTTAATAATTACCATTGTTATTAACAATCATATGAACAATAATCTAGTTATCAATAATAATAAAGTAGAGCTTTAAATGACTTTAAACTCGTTAAAATAAGAAAAATAATTTTTCTGTTTGCAGAAATAAGCCATTTATTTGTTTAAAAAGTAAATAATTGTTTATCTTAATAAATTTTTCAAGTTTTTGAAAGAATGTACATATGATATAAACATTTCATTTTTTTTGTTCACGGAGGAGAAGAGGAAAATGCTTTAAACGCATGCTCAGGAAGTTCCCACTTACGCTGGGGTATGTCGGGCTCAGCACAAAATGCTAGGATAAAAAAATAAACCTTTCGCATACCTGCTTTATAGTCACTACTACCAACTAAAAACCTCAGCTTCTTGATCCCCTGGGTTTCGATTTCGAACCTTCTATCCACCCACGGAACTACCTTGCGGCTTCAGACTTCGCAGATGAATGGTCCCATTTAGTCGCCGGCGCGACTCTTCCGTGCCGTTCTTGTTCTGGCCTTATTTCCTCCTTGTCCTTGACAAAGTCTTCTTTACTTCCTCTAGGGCAGTTCTGAAGACTCTGCATCCTCCTGATATGTTCTCCTTTTCCCCGAACTTCGCCTGGCATAAGAAACAGCATGGGCTTTTCTTACAATCTGCTATCTTATGTCCGGCTTCTCCGCACTTGAAGCACGCAGCCGACCTGTCTACTGCTTGGCAATCTCTACCTATATGGCCATAGTCATGGCACCTATGACACCTTGTGACCATATTTCTACTTCTTATCTTGCAGGAGACGAACCCAATCTTTCTGTGCCCGATTTTCTCCAGCTTATCAGCGTCTTCCTGGCTGGTGACCACGACAGCGAGCTTTGCTCCTAGCTTGTTTAGTCCAAGGACCGTCACCTTCCTGCTTCTTGCTGGTACTGTAGAAACCTTCTCCAGGGCACCCAGTACGTCTTCTTTTTCTGTAAGGGCATCCATATCGCAGATTTCCAACGTAGTTCGCCGGTCCGCCATCTGCACCTTACCTAGTGCTCCAATGACCCTTGTCACCTCCTCGGTGAACAACGCCTTACTTGAAGTCCCTCCAATTTTCGTTGTTGTGGCTGTCTTCTGTCCATGACTGAATTTGACTTTGGTGCCGACTTGGTACCCTTGCCTTCAGTCCTTTTAGGAGGTCCCTCTTCCTTCTTCCTCTTTATGTCCTTCACAAACTCTGGACCACTTCTATTCCGCTTCTGACTCTTCAAGACAACGTTTCTTAGCATTGCTGCCTTGAGACGGTCACGTCTTATCCTTCGGTCTTTGCGTGCTTCTTCTGACCATGTTAATCCCTGGTAGAACTTCTCATCTTTTCTGGCCGCTGCTGCGTGCTTCTCCTTCACATCCTGTATAAGCGATGTTATGCTTCTGAGTCCATCCTTGATTGTCAAACTGACACTTCTCTGAACGTCACAGAACTTCAGCATCTTGCTGACCTCATCCTCCATTTTTATAATGCTCGCTGCCTCTTCCTCTCGCAGCTTAATGCATTCCTCTCGATCTTCATTGCAGTTAGCAATGTCAATCGCAGAAGCATTACTGAAGACAGAAATGTTGCTGGCTTGACTTGTGATGCTGCTCGTGCTTCCTCTTCTCTCCACCTTCTCCACGTTGATATGTGGTACAGTAGGTTTCAATTATGCCTTCTTAGTTTGAACGTGTCGCACTCATATGTTTCCATGGAAACATATAAGTGCGACACGTTTATACTAGGAAGGCATTTCTGAAACCTACTGTACTACCAACGCGTTGTTGCCCTCCTGCATCCGTGGGCCACTGGCCATCGTCCTCACGCTAGGCGCTTGACGATCGGAACCAGTGAGGGATTTAGCCGAAGCAATACCCCGCAGGAACTCTTCCTCGTTTTTACAATCGCTCATGATAAATGTTTTTTGCTGGTTTTGGTCCGCGTCGAGACAAGGCCGTTGATACTTAATAAATACCAACGCTTAGATAATGAAAGTAGGGGAAAGTTGTACGAGATGATCCCCTGTGGCAAGATGATCCTTTTGAATTTCGGAGAGCCTATTAGCGTCACCTTTTAGGCAAATACGGTAATACGTTACCAATGAAATACCTATGAATCAGTCAAAGTGTCAAATTCTATTGAAAAAAATAAAAATTTCACTTTTGATCTAAGGAAAGCTTAACTTTGTATTTAGCCCATTAACGCCCAGACGGACGAAAAATTTTAATTGACTTTGAGGACCTGGTTTTCTATAAGAGTGTAAACAAAAAAATTGGCACATATTAATTTTAAAGTAAAATTTACTCCTCTTTCAGATTCTGCTCTTAGAATTTGTTTATAACAAATTGTTAAAAAGTTATAAACAATTTTTTCCAAAAAAACACGATTTTTCGAGAATAAAATTTCTTTTTAGACGTATTTTCACTGGAAAAATGAAAATGGATGCTCTCAAAAGATCAAAATATCGCGTCCATGGACTCTCAGCTACAAAACCCTAAATAAAAATTTTTTTTTTTAAAATGGCGGACTTCAAAATGGCGGACGACAATATCGCGGCAAAAACTAAAAAAATGGCTCACATATGAAATATAGTGCTCCACCTTTTTCAAGTCACTGAAATCAACTGAAACTCGTTACTCGGGAGGTTTTTGGGGT